CGAAACCGAAAAAAAAAACCGAAAAACCGACTAGAACCGAACCGACATGAACCGACCGGTTTGGTTTTTGGTTCTTCGTGAACCGACCATTTCGGTTCCAGGTTCGGTTTTAGGCTAAAACCGACCCGATCCGAGCCCGATCTCACCCCTAATATATATACATATCATCGAACGTAGGGCCTTCTCAATTTAATAGGGAAAACGATGCAATATCTAACTACCCAAATTTTCTAAGGGGTGTCTAGGGTCCGAGAGGCATTGTACTTCTCGGACCTAAACGATTGAAAATCAACCAATAAAAATGTGCCACATAGGATAAGTACGAACCCCATAAAAAAAAGTACGACATATGGGTTATAACTAAAATTACATAAATACCCTTAAAACTAAAACTTAATTAAAAACTAATAATTATAATTAATAACTAGTAACTAAGATTTGATTAGATATATAAATAATAATTAGAATAAAACTGTAACCTAATTGTCTATTAAATCTTTCTTTAAGAAATAACAATTTATATTCGTCTTCTTCATATTGCTGTAAAGCCCTAATCACCCATCTTTCTTTCTTATGTTTTTCTCCACCTCTCTTTTTCATCATCAACGGTTTCTCTTTCATCTTTTTTTTTTCTTTTTTTTTTTGCATTCTAGAAGTAGTATAATGTAAGTACTAATAAAAGAAATATATATCTCAAACAGGAAAAATTGCATTCAGTCATAACAATCCTTCAAAATCTCCAAAGATAATAATAAATTCTGAGGCACAACAAAATTGAATTTAAGAAACAAAAGAAAAGAAAAAAAAATCATTCTTCTTCGTCTATTTCGACCCTTCTTCATCATCATCAGTCATTATCTCCAATAAGCAACATCCATTGTATCTTTCTTCATCATCGTCCATATTATTACAATTCAAATTCGAGCTTATTTCCATATTGTTATAATTTGTCCATATTCAAAATTATGAAAGTAATATTTATAAATATTGCTCTTACTGTGAGATTGATTTAGAAAAACTATTACACTAAGCTATAAGTTATAAACAAGCAATTTCTGCAACATTATGATACGAACCATCCCCAAATCTCCTAAGATTCAATTTGTCCTGAACCAAAATCAAAATTCAATAAGATATCTTCAATGAACCCATCAAATTTTCTTCTGCTAAATA